GGTGAGGTTAAATATATAAGTGAGGAGGAGAGGGTAACAAAGGCCAGTAGTGGGAGCATTGTCTTCTCCATCTTTCCTTTCTGTTAATACCCTATCCTACTCCTTGCTGAGCTATCAAAAGGCATAGATTTCATCAACAGTTTTTGTGCTGATCTTATGCACTGTTCAGAGTAGTCTTTCCTATCTTCATCCATTTTTATTGTGTCTTTTTAAACACAGATAAATTGCTTAGCTGACCAAAAGCCATTATTCCATGACTGGACCTAATTGGGTGGGATGTCATACACTCACTATCCTGTGTCACTACTGTGGCTGCAATGATATCAGTTGACAGTCTTACAGAGACTGAGCTTACTGATTTGTTATGCTTTTGATAGCATGCACTGCACTATTCTTAAGAGCTGGACCTAATTCTGCTCCTGTCCCAGGCTGGATTGGAGTTCCTCTCCCGCCATCCCAAGTTGCTCATCACTGCCAGCCCAAGCCTGCTGATCTGGCCATTTCCATTCTTCCCACACATTCCAGGTGCTTGACCCCCCTCTTGCTGCTCAGGAGGACCATGCACTCCTGGACATTGCCCTGCAGCTCCTCATCTTCATGAGGGGTAGAAGGCTCCAGGTGCCCTCTGCCTCTGTGCTTGTGTTGGTTGGGACAGAGTTAATTTTCTGGATAGAAGTTAGGATGAGGCTACCTTTCCAACTCTCCCCTTCCCTCCTGGGGGACTGAGCAAGCAGCTGTGTGGTGCTTTAGTTGCTGGCTGGGGTTAAACCACGGCAGCCTCTGAGCACCTTTGCAGGGCTCTGTGCCTTCCCCACAGGACAAAGATTGCTAAAAGCAAGCCTACCTCTGGGTATGCCTTAGTGGCCCATTTTATTGACAGGATAGACAGATGGGAGGACTGCAGGGGGTCCTCTGGTGCTGTTTTGTTCAGCTGATGAGTGCTAGGGTTTAAGGTGTTTCTCAGTCTTCCTTCTGTCTGAAGTTTGTCATTGTATCAGGATCACTAACAGTGTTCTCTGTTCTTTTGGCTTTGATGAGCATTTATGCATCTGAAATAGTCCATCTTACCAGAGTGCACAGCATTTTGGGTTGTGCCTTTTATGTCATTTGTTTACTAAGGGTACAAACTGTCAAGCTGAAAAATCAACAACGGAGATTTAAAACTTAGGACTGACTCCGTGTTTAGAATAAATATTTTGCTGTTTCTAGAGCAGTGGCCTCTCCAGAGTCTGGTAAAAAGTTTTCTGTGTCTGTCTGCTTGTGTTACTGAGGATATGAGGGGTAATATTGGCTCCACTGTTGTAGGCACAATATGAATTATTTATATTTGTACACTTCACTTTTTCTAATTAAAAAAAAATCAGATCCAACTAAAACACCAACTGGTCCCTTGGTTTGTGGTTTTTTTTGTTTTTGTTTGTTTGTTTGTTTTTTGGGGTGGGGGTGCTTTTTAGTAGTTTTGATTTATACTTTGCTTCCTTTCTGAACAGAAAATGGGAATTCATGGGGCTTTTAAGGTGTTTTGAGATATTTTTTCTTTTTAAAAGAAGATTTTGAACAAAACTTTTGAAATAAATTTACTGAAGTATTTTTGACCACAGCAGCTGCAGTTTAGTTCAGATTTGAAAAATAACCTAAGTCAATCAAAACAGTGTATTCTATATTTTTACAGTTATTGTCTGTCATGTTCGTTCCTTAATTATTTTTTATCTAAAGTTACATGCTCTACCGATACATTGTCTGTCTTGTTTTCTGTATTTCCTGGATGAAAAGACCAAATAAAGCAAATTTGAACATAAGGCCACATCATTTCTTTCATTTGTAGTGCAGTGGTTGTGAGCTTTTATAAATCAATGACAGAAGTATTACACATAAGCTCTAAATGTATGAATAATTCCTTTGGCAAAAGCACTAGTGACCTAGTGTTCTCTTTAATACATTTGGCCTTTTGAGATTAATTGTGAAACCACAATAATTTTTGTTTCTCATTACATCAACTTGCACTTTTCTTCTTAGAAGATGTGATAATGAGAAACTTGAATATAGTTAAAAGGATGTGTCAATGTTACTGTATCCCTAGAGGAGCTGAGTGTCATGGGATTGTGTCCTAGATCTGAAAGGCAACAGTTTATTGCTTATATTTGTTGGTAAAATACAACAGGCAGTGATTTCAATAGGTTTTCCAGAGATTGCAACATACACTTTTTATTTTCTCAAGGACACAAAGGGTTGGTGGTGGTGGCTTCTGAAGAGCCTCCTCCTGGATGCTGGCCAAAAGTGAAAGTCTTGTTGCTGCAATACCTCACTCACCCTGAGCAATGGGAGATTGTAATTTCTTCTTCTGGGAATTAATTGCTATAGAACAAGTAATAACAGTTTTAAACTAAAAGAGGTTCAATTTAGATAATGTATAAGGAAGAAGTATTTTGCAATGAGAGTGGTAAAATTGGAGCAGGTTGCCAAGAGAGATGGTGAATGCCCCATCCCTGGAAACATTCACAGTCAGGCTGGATGGGGTCTAAGCAACCTGGTCTAGTGGAAGATGTCCCTGCTCATTGCAGGGGGCTTGGATTGGATGGCCTTCAAAGCTCCCTTGCAACCCAAACTCTTCTATGATTCTAAGAATGTGTCACTCTCAGATAGGGAAAGCATCGAGCCAGCAGTGCTGCTGCCCTGACAGGGCAAGCTGTGGTTTTCCCAGGAAGAAGAGCAATGGTTACCATGCACAGGAGCAGAATGCACATGCTTGCCTGGCCCAGGAGCTCCTGGCACAGCTCAAGTGCTGCTTAAGCCACCAGTTGCAAGGTGGGTTATGCTGACAGAGCAGATCATGAACCAAAGAGTGCAGGCTGAGGTGGTTCAGGCTGGGGCTGAGGTATGGTAGCAGAGTTAAGTGGCCTTAGAGTAGATTGGTCACCCTTAACTTCACAAAACGTAAACATGTGCAGAACAGCATGTTTCCTCGGGGCAACCTCAAGGTTGCTGTAAAATCTATAAAAGATTGCTATTTTGGCTGACAGCCTGGTCGAGAACCTGTTAAAATGTTTTCTTTGGTTTTTGGTTTTTTTTCAGCACATTGTTAAATTCTTACAGCTGTCTCCTGTCTTTGTGTTCTTTTATCCTTGTCTTAATCACATCAAGGATGTCATTACTCTGAATTGTGCTGACATAAGGGACAGGAAGGTAAAGTGTCTGTGAGAGATAACAACTTCATAAACCACCATGATGCAGAGAGGGTCTTCAAACCGCCAATGCACAGGTCTGGGTTCCTATAAAAGATGAAATTTGGAAAAAAAAATCACTTCTGATCCCATTGTGAGAATGACTTTTCCTTTTTCCCTTGAGTGTTTTGACTGTTCTCCCATTGCCTTGCCACACTGACCACCCAGCTCAAGATCAGGCAGCTGCTCCAGTTGCCTCTGAGGTAGTGAATGCATGCTTGTGTTTTTTCCTTTATCCTTTCCTTCTCCTTCACCAGCCCATGAATTTTGCCTGTGCACATTGTTTCCAGTTTCCAAGTCTGAGAAGTGGACTTGGGATGCTTCTGAGTGACTTTTCCATATCATGTCATGCCATGTGCCTGCCTGCTTCACTTCTGTATCTCCCAGCTGCTGCTCTGCTAACTAAAATGCTGTTGCCTTTGAAAGCATAGTGGCAGCTGCTCTCAAAGTCAGCTGCATAACAAGATGTCAGGGAAGGAAGCTAAACTAGAAGCTAAGAAGATGTATGGTGGGGGTTTGTCTGGACTTTTTTCCTTTAGATGGATTCAAGTTAGTGGCAGAATCTGCACTGAACAAGAAGTTGCATGTTGATGACCAGTGTTTTTTCACCCAGAAAGGCTTAAAAATCTTTCAGCTTCAAGTTGAAAGCATTTAAATTGTTTTTTGAAGGCCATATTCAGTGAGCATTCTGGGAGATGGTAATGAAGTGAATTTCGTTCTTTGAGTCACTCTGCCTGCAAGAAGGAAGCGTGGCCACCTGGAGAGGCAGAACTGGGAAATAAAGAATAGAATTGCAGCCCCAGCCTTACTAATCTGGGTTTCCTTAGAAGAAAAGGAGGAGACATATTTCCTTACTAATTGCAGTCTAATAAATTACTTCTAGAAAACAATGCAGCTGAGTGTACCGACTAACAAAAGAAAGTTTCCCACTTCTCCCTTGAAACAGAGGTTAAGCAGGTTGTTCCTTGCTGATGAAGTATGCATCACACATTGCCTGTTCTGGCAAGAGTTTGTTAATGTAATTTGATAAGGAAACACACAGAGAATGATTTATATTTTATTTTATCCACTCCTAAAGTGATCCTGTTTTTAACTTCTTTCCTCCTGATTTTGGCCTTTGCTGTTCAGGCTTCCCTGATTTATTGGTCCTGGACAAATTCCTCCCTGATCATTCTTGTTCTTTGCAAAGGACTTGGCCTGAAGCATGCTATTTTCTTGCTTATGTGGACATGCTCTCCATCTGATTTCTCCCTTTCCCTCTCTGGTAGTCAAATATTCACAACAGTTACTCCATCACTGGAAGGTGTTTTCATCTTCCTGGGTCACAGTAACCATAAAGTGAAAATAGTTCCTGTGCAATCTTGTTCCTTGTTTCCAAACCAGGAGACAGCCCCTCAAGGAAAGACAACATGGACACCACTTGACAGACCTAGAGAAAATATCCCTGCTCCTGTCTGTCTGCAGGAGCTCCACAAAGCCCACACTGGGCACACACTGCCTGCAGCTCATGTGGACCCCACTGATGTGTGTTCTCCTCCCTTTCTGGGCTGCCTGATTGTTCCATCAAAATGTACAGAAAAAGAAAATGTGCAACTGGGGACCTGAGTAACATGGTCAATGTTTCACCATGGAGTTAAAGGAAAGTGTACTCTCATCACTTTTGAATGCTTTAAGTTTGATTTCTATTAAGCAGCTGGTTATTTCAGCTAACTGATCCTATGTAGGGATGATGAATATTGGCATTCTTGGTGTCCTTTATCATGCCATAGCCTAGGATAAGACAGCTCAGTTGGTTAGGGCATGGTGCTAATAAAGCCAAGGTTGAGGGCTCAATACCCATATGGGTCATTCATATGAGAGCTGGATTTGATGATCCTTGTGGAGTGCCTTCCCACAGCTCAGAATATTCTGTGATTCTGTGATAACTTTGAAATTCACTTAGTAAGTCTTGTTTCCTTTCTGGACTAATTAACCTGGGAGTGAGAACTCTGTGATGATGAGAGCAGCACTAGGAGAACTCTTTAGGTTTTGGTGGAAACACAAGAAAATACTTCCTTGGACAGCATGGAAGGCATAATGTTGGGAATGAGAGATTAGAAGACCTGGGGTGAGAGAAAGCTGGCTTGTTTCCCTGACAGCTCTGACTGTCCCAGCATAGAGTGGTTGCACTGGTGAGATGGGAGAGAGCTCGTGTGTCCTGCTCTGCTTCCAAATGATGCCCCTGGAGTCAAGTAGCTACTTGTGCTGTTGTCTCTGTGGAAGAACAGGATTGGAGTTGAGTCAAGCAAAGGTAAATGTGTTCTATTTGACCTGAATTGATGGTAAGATCTCAGATCAATTATTCAGGAATATTTTTGCACTTAAGTACATAGTGCTTCCTGGGATTGATATTTTAATTTTAGAATTTTCAGGGAGTTTGTCACAATATTATCATCAATAGGGTAAGAGTGCTGTTGGCCAGGGTTCTTCTATACTGAACAGTTCTCCTCTCCCACTGCCCTCAGCACTCCCATCTCTTTCTGATTTGCAGCTGAGAGTCCTACCTTCTAAACTGATTTGGGCACCAGAGGAGCTAAATCTTATTGCAACTTGCAGTAGTAATCATGAACTGATATCCTTTTCCCATTTGCTTCACTGGAACAAGGATTTGTTTCTCTGCCTGCACTGCCCAGCCATGTTTTGGTTTGGCTGCCTGTCAGAACCAGTGTTTGTACAGTGGCAGACTGGCCACATGAGCAACTGAAAAATTGGAGTTGGAGAAATTTAGTTGCTTGTGTAGGTTGTCTGCCTCCTAGACAAAAGGTGAGTTTTCCCTGGAAGAGCAGAAATCCCAGTGTCAAGGAGGAGCAAAGACACGAGTTCATGAGGTTTACATAGGAGGTGTTTGGTGGTCTACCAAGAATGAGAAGCGTTGAAGAGGAATCCTTCCAGTGTGGTCCTGTCCCCTACAAATGAGTAAGGGAGCAGAGGTGGCATGAAGCCCTGTGATGGACTCACAGCATCAGGCTCCAGAGGTCACCCAGCATGGCCTTATCTAACTATCAAGGCTGGGATTTTTGCCACAGTCTCCCAGTTGGATTTCCTGAGAAGTGATTTTTGGGACTGTTCAGGATCATGTGAGATCTGGACTCTGAGTCTTCAGACACATTTCTCTTTGTGCTGTGCAGACCAAATTTCTGTGAGAAATGTTAATCTGATATTAAATTTGGGAAAGATAAAACTCTCCTCTGTGGGATAAATGTTGTGTCCATATAAAGAGCTTATTATGCCTTTATTTTTGTCATACAAGTCATTCCATCTAAGGCAATAATCTCATTCCCAGTAGGAGCAGGAACTGTGTCCCTGACAGCAACTCAGATATTTTCCCTCTCCCTTCTGACACAGCTTTCCAGGTTAATCTAGCCAATAGAAAGAACCTAGGGGTAAAAATTAACCCTAGAAATCTGTATGTAACCCTTGAAGAATTTTTAATGTAAAACCAAGGAAGACAGAGCCATTGAGAAAGATCAGATGTGGAAATCACAAATGGTTTATGTAAGCAGCTGACTAAATCAACTGGAAGAGATTTCTGGTTTCCTGGAAATACTCAGGATGTTTTCCCCTTGTGTTTAAAATGAGGTTTCTGCTGAAGGTCTTCCCTTTTCAAACTTGCCTGTATTTTAATACAAGAGGGAAGATATTCCTAGAAATTGCACAATTGTTTCTTCTGTTCATCATGACCTTTTTAAAGTCTGAAAATTTGAGGGGTTAAGTGCTAAAAAATAGGCATGAACTTATTTTCTATCAGCCTGATTTTATGTATTATGTGGATAATATGACAAATTATTTAACATTAGCTGTAAATCCTCTGCTCTGTGGTTTAACTTCACTCTTGGGGTAGCACAAGAAGACTCAGTTTAATGTCCTTGCTTTGTTTCCTTGCACTGTGTACAGACAGAGTGGCTGTTTGGGTGGTATGTGTATAATCCATGCCATTATGGAGTGGGCTTGGGCAGGCACAGCTTTCATGTGGTTAAAATTTTGTATTTCTAACTGGTTGTATTGCTACACATTTGTTAGCCTTTCCTGCTGAAATATTTGGAAGAGTTTTAGAATTAAAAGCATTTATATCCTTTTGAGAAAGTAATTGGTTTAGAGCTGTTTCTCAGAGTGAATTCCCCTGAGCAAACATTTGGAGAAGTGGGTCTATTTTTACAACCCTGTCCCAAACACTGTCTATTTTAGTCCAGATTTGGTATGGTATGATTCACTAAATCTGATTTAGCTGTTTACAAAGTATTCTTATCTGCTGACATGTGGTGCATTCTATTTTTGAAATTAAGATTTTATTCAACATTTATTATTACAGTGTAAATAATGTCGACTCAAGAAAATAAAATATTACTTCACCATCTTCACTCTTGAACATTTGTTTCCAAAAATAGGACAAGTATAAACAACAGTGAGTTTTTGCCTTTCCCACTGAAATGGGAATAATAAATATTTTACAAGAGAAGTATTTCAAGGTTTATAAGCCTTTCAGTTAGTGTTCCTTAATGTTTTATTTTACCTTTATAAATTGTTATGAACTGTTTTATGTTAAGGAATAGATACCTTGTGAACAACCCTAAATAATGAAAAATTCTACATCTTCAGACTCTAAACTGCTGCTTTGGTTGAAGATAAGAGACTAGAGTAGAGGGGAAATAGACAGCAATGATTAGGATGTACAACAAACTGAAAAGCTTTTCTGAGACACTAGGTAGAGGTTTCAGAATGCCACTGAGAAGGAGAGCCCCTCTGGAAGGTCTATGCCTACAGAAAACTTGATACAGGACTTCCAAATTTTGCTGCTTGTGTGAACTCACCTGTTTCCAGATCGTTTTGCTAATGTCTTCTGTGCTAAAACATCCCAAACCAGACCCACAGAAATTCTCATGTGTACAAGATAATTTCTGTTTATATTACTTTAGTTCTATATATGTCATTAGTTCTAAATAATAGCTTCAAATAGAAATATGTGGAAATATAGATGTTTGGGGTTTATTCTTGCAGAAAGCCTTAAAGAATACTCCAGATTCCTTCTTGGGGCACAGGCAGTCATATTTTGCCCTCTGTTTTAAGATGAACATACATATATACATATATACATATATACATATATATACATATACATGCAACTAGTACTTTATTGTGCTGCTTGCTGACTTCTGCAATAAAATCAGGAGATGACTCCAGCTTTGACTTCAAGTAGCCCTTCTCCCTAGACAAATCTTCCACTGATAAACAGAACGACTTGTAAATCCAAAAAAAGGAAGGTTTAGTTAGTATTAAAGCTAGGAGTTTTCACATTCTAGAAAGAGAAAACTGAGGTGGCAGACAGAAATAGAGGGCCTATGTGTTTCCTGTTCCCACCTTGTTGTGTCCTTGTAGGCAGGTCCTTGCTTCCAGCAGTGTTCTCTGGGTGCATTGAGTCCAGGTTCTCCAGGATATCTTGTTTTTCAGAAGAAAAATGTCTGATTTTGCTACATATCAGAGATTCTAATCTTTCCTAGTAGGCATTAGAGAAATATTCAGACCACTGAGTCTTCTGGGAGGAAAATATACAAAAATAGAAAACACAATACTAAAAGAAAGAGATGTGACATAACCCAGATGCATAAATCCAATGAGTTCAGGCTGACAATAAATCTTTTGGTATTAATGTGGAGATTTAGATTTTATTTCTCATGTTATTTGTTCTCCATATGATGAAGCAGTATAGTGCAGAAAAAGCACTAAGAATGACACTTTTCTGCCCTAACTTGGAAGAAAAATTGTTTTGTTCCATGGGAGTTGGAATTAAAATTTCTCACTAAATCCTGATTTTTTGTGTATGTTTTCTTTCTTCTTCATCATCTCCAGAGAGTGAGCTTCCAGCAACGCCTTGTGTTCTTCACATCCTGAGAAAGTTTAGATTGCTTTCTTCACAGCATTTCTTTTTCCATTCCCAAGTTTGCCTTGCTGCTGATACAATGACCCAGTCCAGAGAGAGAGAAGAAGGGCTGAAACATCTCAACCTTGCAGCAAAACTTTTTTTGGGGTTAACTCCCATCCTTTGTTTTTCCTAGAGGTTTCTGGTGGCTACCACTAATTTCCTGCAAGCAGACTGCTGAGGAAGGGGGGATGACAGATGTAATACGTGGGTGTGGGTTGTTTACTGAGCTATTTTCTTATTTTGTAGCCTTCACTACTTGAATCCGTGGAAGGTATCTGAAAATTGCCAGGGGGAACAGAATGTGCATCTGTGAGTTTTAAGTCACAATAATTGATTAGGAGGGGAGGAGGAGAGTGAGAGCCAGAGCAGCAGTCATTGATGTGGGTAGGAAAGGAATTTTTATGGTGACTTTCATGGTTGATTCACAGACAGGTTTTCTCTGTCTTCCCAATCCTGTTTATTCTCTATTCTTGCGCCTTTTCTCACTACCCACATTCTCTCTCAATTGTTTTTTTACTTCATAATTTTTTTGGCCCTTATGGCTGCTCACTTGTTATTATTTTTGTTGTTCCTTAAGGCCACACACAGTGCAGTGAGAATAAGCCAGCTGTGCACATTCTTGCTCCCAGTGGTTTGTGTTCATTTTGGAGGTGCTGCTCAGATGCCTGCAGATCTTTATTGGTAGGCTGAAGAAGGGTGTGAAGATATGGGTCAAAGGAAGACCTTGTGCCACTTATTTTCAGCCATGGACAAACATGCTGTGAGTGTTGTGGTCAGTCCAGTGTATGCCATCGACCTTTTAGGTGAGGATTTATAAAAAAAATTTACATTATTTGTACAGTATTAGATATTTAAAATATCAAATATTTTAGGTTTTTTTAACAATAAAAGG